ATCTGACCAATGAGAATTTCACATTTGAGACGCAGATATTCAAATTCATTAGTCATCGATGCAGGCTCTCAATTCACCTTGAGAACCTGTTCGCAAGCTATCTTTGTTCTAGTTTTATACGACGACATTGGATATATAACAATTACGCCATTTGTAGTAATTTACTCGCATGTTTACTCCTTTTTCGAAGACGTAATGTTCATATGAAAGTAAAATTGCCAACTAAGTCTGGTAACTGTTTTCGCATTACTAACATGGCATTGCTCTATGTACATTGTAGTTTTCCTTGGTTGTGTGGAGCATATGGGCTGACCGCTCCAACCAAAAAGATCGGGGGGGGGGGTGTCCCCCCCCCCCCCTCATTTGCGCCCCTACCATGCTCTTCCAATGACTAACACCAACCGCTTTACGAACACTTTTGTGCCATCTATGATATATTATAATAATTTAGTAGGTTAACATGTCTAATATTTACATTTATATACTATTGTAAAAATCTACGTAATTCAGCCAAGTGGCTGCAAAGTGGCTTTTAATAAAATATCTATCTATATATCCATCTAAATCGGATATTTCATAATTTTTACGATAAACATGTAAACTATTTGTTTATTAGCATCGCCTGAATCATGTTTTAGTCGGAGTTTTAGCTCAGACGCCGTTTAGTATACCGCACATTTTCGGTGACGATCAATGTGTTCTATACTTTATCTGTCGTGATAACTTAACGCTTTAAAATTCCCAGTACCAAAATAAGAACGGAAGTGAAAACATTGGTATCGGTATTGGTATTGGTATTGGAAGTCGAACTTAAACTCATTAATGTTCTAGTTTACGACGACATTGGATATATAACAATTACGCCATTCATGTTTCGCTCGCTACTCTGGTTTAAATAAATGATTACAAAGCCCAGTCGAATTTCATTTATTTAAACCAGAAGAAGAAAAATCGTTTAATAGCTAACACATGCACATTGCAGTCTGTACGACTGAATTACATGTCAGCGAAATTTACAAGTTAGAATCTATATAAAATACGTATGATTATCTACATAATCTTTAACTATTTCCTAATAAACTATAGTAAAAACCCTAATATTGCTATACAGTCATTATTTTATTTATCAGCCATGTACATGCTGTGACTGATAATAAATTATTTTTAAACCGATCTGCATGTTTTACAAATTGGAGTGTTCAAAAGTCTCGTATTTCTTAAAGACTTGTTGTGGCTTGACTTGGGTGGTAAAAGTTCGGCCAGCTTGTGGTTTTTGTCATTAGCAGTATCTTTAAACAATTTACGAGATAAGAGTTCGCGTCTAGAAAGGCCAGAGTAGCGAGCGAAAGATGATTGATATATCTGGTTGGAGTGAACGAACAAATTTAAAATACGCCATTTGTAGTAATTTACTCGCATGTTTACCGTATAGCTTCGCATAGCGTAAATATATAGCAACTCCTTTTTCGAAGACATAATGTTCATATAAAAGTGAAATTGCCAACTAAATCTGGTAACCGTTTTCGCATTACTAACATGGCATTGCTATATATACATTGTAGTTGTCCTTGGTTGTGTGGAGCATATGGGCTGACCGCTCCAACCAAAAAGATCGCTCGTCCACATATTTATCTCACAGTTAAAAGAGGAATGAAGAAATCGGATGTACGACGCAATCTTGAAGACAAGTTTAAGTGTGACGCAAAGGAATACTTTGAACTCCTGCAAGAACCCAAAAGAAAACCAAAACTCAAATTATTAGGTCGAGAACGAAACAAGGTGACATCGTCTGCCACATCAGTCAAAGCGGTAGCCGGTGGTGGCGTATTTGCTTGTATTAAGAACAGTGCTAACAATTCAAACCCTCTACGAGTGTTAGAAGAAAACGAGAGAGAGGATATACCCGTTCCACAGGGAATTGGAACTTTAACCATGTTTTGCGCCCATGATGAACAGCATTACGCCCTTACTTGCTTTCACGTCGGTTGTGCAACTGATGAAAACTGTTTGAACGCAGCATTAAATAAAAAGGACAATATTCAGGAGATCCGGAATTCACTTCCAATTTATGAAGAGCATGCTAAGGAACAGCAGTATTATTTTGCAGAAAAGGTGGTCGTAGAGAATAACAACGAGAACAATGACGAGCCCATCACATTTGGGGACGATGGAAGCAACTACACGCACCTTGGTGATTTTCACAAATTTCAATTTGATAGTAAATGTGACATTCTGTCTCTGAAGGTTTCCAAAGACACTGAAATTGATTGCAAAATATTGGGGGTAACTTCTCCAAATTGGACGAATATATGGGATGAAATCTATGAGAGAGTTTTCAGCATTGGTTGCAATCCTGTGATAGTGGCGAAAAGAGGCTTTTCGTCGGCTGAGACCTACGGTCATATTGTTTCATGCGATTTTAGTAGCAGCGACGAAGATGAATTCCAAGATGCAATAATTGTTGAGGGATATAGTGGTCCATTTCTGAAAGGTGGAGATTCAGGTTCTCTTGTTTTCTTTCATGACAAGAATGATCAGAAACAAGTTCTTGCCTATGGTGTTTGCGAATTGGACGAGCTTCCCGCCTTAATTAAACCGCACGAGTCGGCACAGTCAACGACCTCCATCAATTATGATAGTGACGGCAGTAGTATTTGGGATAAAGAAGATTATTCTTGCAGCTCCAACGAAGCTGTGGATAAATGTGTAGAGGAAACTGAACATGACGATAAACAAAGCGCTGAAATTGAAGATACAATTAAATGTCAGAAAGATAATGAGTGTGAAGACGAATTTGAAAATAGAAATAAGCGTGAATGTGGGCAAGATAAAGAATGCAAAGTGAAAAGTGAAGAAAAAAATGAATATGAATGTGGAGATGAGCATAGATATGAAGATCAGAATAAAGGTGAAGATCAGAATAAAAGCGAAGATGAAAGTGGAGATAATAAATATGACGATGACACAGATGACCAATCTGATTTCGAAGTTGTATTCCAGGAGGAAAGTACGGGGCCATACTTTATCTGTTTAAGACTAGATACCGCTTTAGAAAACTTGGGGCTTGACAAAGCACCATGTTATAACGATTGTGGTGGTAAGTGAAAATGTACGATTTCTGTAGTCTGTTCACAAAATGCATGAATATACTAATAGGGCGCCCTTCCGTGGCTTAATATCTGCAAGCCAATGACAGCTTTTTTAAAAACGATAACAAATTAAAAATGAACATACATCATGTCTACTGACATACAAAGTCATTAATGCCAAAAAATTGGAAGAATAATTCAATATTAATTGCACATATACTTTCTAATATTTCCTATCCAATATCTCAATATTTTAATATTGCCTAACAATGAAAATAATTATTGTTACTTACAGTTTAATGTAATCAGAAAAATTAAGAAAATTTTGGAAATTTTCAGTCAGAAAGGGTATTTGGCCATGCCCTCTACCACGACAAGTCTCATGACCAACGTCCTTAGTTTGCTCGATTGTTAACTCTAATTCTGATTCAAAGCATTATGGAGTTCACTTTTTTATGCCCTTAGAATTACCTGAATTTACTTGCGGAAAATCTACTGGAAATCTACCTAAAATTGCTCATAAGGAATTATTAGGGGGCGTTGCACCCTCCTCCTCCCCCCCACACACACACACACACACCTGGTCGCTACGGCCCTGGGCGAAACGTGTTAAAACGCGTGTTTTGCATCGTAAATATCTGGCGGTTTAAGAAACAGAAAATTGTGTCGTAATGGCGAATTTCCTGGCCATACGTTGTCGTAAATAAAGATGGTGTGTATCTCATCAAAACTTCAAAACAATTGTTAATGTTGCCAAAAGCGAAAATCATAATTATTCAGAAAATTGT